GTGTTTACCCTGTGCCTGGACAGAAGGATACAACTTCTGGTGGTGCTTTTCCCAGGGTCTCACATCACTCCAGGTTCAGGATGTACAGCAAATGAAAGAAGTAGGAGGAGAAAACCAGCTTGGGGAGGGTGGTGCATGTGGTTTTGGGATAGGATTGGGAAAGCAAAATTGATTGGGCTTCATGAAGTTGATGATGCCCCAACTTCTCACAATATTTCAGGGAAAAAATCCTGGGTTTAAAAAGACCAGTTACACAAGTGTTCTCCATTCTGCTTCAATCTGCAACTTTAGCAATCTTCAGGTCAGGTTTTCCCTGCAGAATAAACGTGTATATATATATTAAACAAGACTGATTTCAAGACATTTGATTGATCAGATGCAAAATAACGTCTCTGTCTTCTTCCAAGGCCAGAGAGTTAAGAGATCAGCAAATGGCTGTAGGTTTTTAATAATTAATTCACTAACCATGAGCTTAGAAGACTAAATAAAAACAAGGTCTGCACATGAGGGTTCAATATCAGTGGCTTAAAAACACTTAAGGGGAATGTCAGCCAGCACGACACAGCAGCATACATCCATCCCACCCCACACTACCTCACCTTCCATCCTTCCTGCTGCTGCAGAAAGGGCACCTGTGAAAGGTAGTTCAGATGACCTCTCTCTTTCCATTAATTACACAGAGCAAGCCTGGATTTAACCCCAGTCTGGGTTGTTTGGTTTTTTTTTTGACAGTCTCCACAGAGCTGTGCAGTGCATGGCTCTACAGTGCCGGTCACATGGGACCTGCCCACCTCACGCACACGCAGCAGCGACACCCCTCTCTGCCACTCCCGTGTTTCATGCTGGGATAACACCACGCTGCTGGCAAAACAGAGGATCACGTGCTCTGCAAACATGCATTACCAGCGCTGGTTCTCCTCAGTGCCTGCCACTGCGCGGGAGTTCGGCTTTGTTTCTCAGTAAATGCTGGATGAGAGGGGGGAGCTGGGATTTCACCTCTGAGGCCCGCAAGGCACATCTGTGCACGGGCAGTGTGGTTTTGTCCTGCGCTGAAATGAACACGGGTAAAGTCCTCCTTATGTTTCTTTCTTCTCATAGGATTTGGTGTATTAACACCCACACCACCAGGCCCTCCTAAAGCAAACAAATAGGTAAAAATGGACCAATCTGGGAAAGGCGGGTCAAGTGGCACGGCAGGAGAGCCCCCATCGCCGGAGTGCTGCGGGAAGACAAGGTGGAGACACAGTCTGGGAGGAAAAGGACAGCCCAACTGCAGAGCTCTCTGCCATGACACAGGGCACTGCTGAGACACTGTGGACAGCTCATGGGTAATGGTCAGGGGATGGGCAACCCCGGGGTGGTGTGAGGGCATCTGCTGTGGGCAACCACACCAGGAGGTGGAGCAACGCTCAGGCACTTGGAGGGAGCCTCTTGATGGCAGGGCCAGGTGTTCCCAGGGGACTTTTCCCCCCAGCAATAGCTTCTGGAAGGATCCCAGGCTGTGGCACAAAAAATTCTCTGGGAGTGGGGCCGATGGGGCGGCATCTCCACTGGGGTAGAGGGGATGCTGCTCCACAGGCAGGATACACAGGGGAGGGAGGTGGTGGAGGGCAGGGTCAGTGACAGACCAGAAATCACCCAGCAGGTCCACAAGGACGAAACAGATTTGAGACAGAAGATCTGTGACCAGGAATGGGAATGGGACAGCACAGCGCAAACAAGGACTTATGACCTCAGAGGCAAAGCTCTTGGTGTGACAGGTGAGGCCTCAAGTGAGGCTTCTCCCAGATGCTTCTCCTTCGTGGCTTCCTTGCAGCCTGCTCCCAGGCATCGCTGCAGGAAGGCAGAACTTGCCTCAAGTACAGGCAGCCATAACCCAGGAAGGACAAGATGGAAGCTCAAGTCTCTGATGCAGTGAAAATGAGGAAATGTAAGCAAATGAAACTGAAAAAAAAATCCTCTTTTGTTTCCCTACAGAACCAGATGTCATGGAGGACAGGAGGTACAGGTACATCAGAGGGAGCTGGCAGAAGGCAGAGGCTGGACATAGAGAGGACAGCAGAGTGTAGGAAGGATAAACACAATCTCTACTCCCATTTGTCTGTGCCCCTTTACTAATTTTTCTCAGGGAGAGGAAGGAGGACCATGACTAAGGCTGACCTTCAGGATCACCTCTTTCCTCAGGCTTTCCCAGTCCCACCAGATGGGATGCTCCAGATGGTCCAGATTCCCAGAGACACCTCCAAGCTGAACCAGGCATCTTCTGATGGGGCAGTCTGGTCTTGTGGTTTTGTACTTCAAATGCAACAGTTCCTTTTTCAAATGCAGGATCCGAGGCACTAATATTTATGACTCCTGGGGTAGGCAATGGGTTCACTGAAATAATTGTAAGCCTAGTAGGAACTGTGTTTGTGCCTCATTTCCACTACAGGGGATATCAGGACGGGTTGTTACCACTGTGTAAGAGCTTGGGAAGGACACACTCATTCATCTAGAACCAGCTCTTGTTGTTGGGAGTATGGAGTTTTTCTCAGCTGTTTTGCTATTGTCTTTCTAAGGCAAAAAGCAACCGAAAAAGAAAGGACTGTGCCACCTAGACCATACATAAGTCTGCCAAACAAACTGGATCCCTCTGCTGGCTAGAATTAAATACCTGTACCTGGCAGGAAGGCTAATAAATCTCCTAAAAAAAAAAAAAAAAAAGACTGGTCACCTGCTTCTGCCAATTCCTTCTCACAGCGGCAGGGGGAGAAAAGAGATCAACTTAGAATTCACGATGGTCAGTCTGTCTTACACTTAATTAGCCCACACAAATTCTTGCCCTAAGTCTCCCAGGGTGATGTTCACAAAGACTTCCCTCCACCCAGCACAGGAAAAAAGATTCCAGAGGGTGATTAAAGCCAAGGAGGTCAAACTGTGGTTGCTCTGAACTAGCTTGTGGGAACCAAGAGTTTATCCTGTAAAAAGAATGCACTGAGATGACTGACAATTATACTACAGCACCCCTTTAGGCAACTGCTCCAGAGACTAATTGTCTATTGTGTAAAATAGTGGATGAACATGTTACCTCTTCTGAAACACCTGTGCTGACCACTTTTAGAATGTGGGTTGCAAACCAGTTACTTCAGTCCTTCTTTCCCTCACACTCCACCAAACTGAAATGAAGGATAATAATGCAATAAAAACTGTGATAAATATGCTTCATATCTTTGGATAACATCTGTCTACCAGACTGCTCAGGGAGCTCACGATCTGACAGATTCCACCATGGAAACAAAGGAAAAAAATTCTCAATTATGCAGCTCCTGAGGTCTTTAAACAACATGGCTTGAGATTTTTGGCAAAGGAGATGACAGAACACCACAAAAACAAACAAACAAACAAACAAACCAATTAGTCCTTCATGTTTCAAATACTCATCATCCTAGGAGGAAAAACAGAGATTCATGGCAACCGATGGGGAGTCAACAGTCCCTTTCGCAAATGTTCTGGGGTTTATATGTCCAGCTCTTGGTCTCAGTTCAGGGAAGCCTCCAAGTCTGGTGTTAATGTCACTTTCCTGAAGGGCTTCATTTGTGGAGCCTGGACATCATTTGCACTGCAGACCACCTGGGAAGGAGTTTAAGACACAGATGCTGTGTGTCACACTGGCAAAAGAGTAGTGGTGAGAAATTTCAGCGGGACTACTTTGCTTAATCGAAACTAAGTACCTTCTCATAGAAACGATGACTGATACTACTGACCAATAATATATTGTTTGTGACCACAAAACTGCTAGACTTAAAAGTAATTAAAAAATTCACCAGCTATTCATTGAGGAAATTTCTGGTGAGGAAACTTTTCCAACTTTTGCAGCTGAATTTCTTGGTGTAAATGCTATTCATATCCTTCCCCATTGTCACTATGTGGCTACCACTTCATAAAACAGCCAGATGTTTGACAGAAGTTTTAAATTAACCTGCTACAAGGAAAAACTGCATGGAAATTATCAGACAGGTGAAAATTTGCCTTTCTGGCAACGTGAAGAAATCCATATTACTAGCTACATTTGCCTGTGTCATCATATGCAGCTGTGCAGATCCTGTCGAGGTTGATTACTGCATAGACTGAGGTTGAAAGAACTTGGGATGAAAACTGCAACAGTCTGCATACCAGGCAAAGGTGTCTCCTTTGGCAAGTGATGACCAAGATCACGAAGTTTTATTCTTTGTCAAAGTAATTTGAGATTTTTCTCTGTTAAAACATGCAGGCTGCTTGCCTACTTCTCCTTGGGCCTACTGCAGACCTTTCAGCACTAATGGACTCTCAGTTTTACCCCTGCCCTTTCAATCATGTAATTCCATGTTTATACACGATACAAACACTATCATCAGAATACAAATACATCATCAGAGAGGCAAGAAGGTAAGTCAGATTGAGGCCAACACTATTTCTGGGGAGTAGAGATATTCATGTGTTCTGCTTATTTTTAGCAAAAGATGGTGGGTAAATCTGAGCCAGCACATTCTTCATTCAATCTGTCCCTGGCCACTAACAGATGGTGCTTCCTCATGCCAAGCACTAATGCACTTTACATTGGCACTCTGTGTCAGGACACAAAGCTCGCCAAGTCCCTGATAATCCTGCTGATGCCAGGAAAATTGATAATAAACAACTAGCCAGGGACACAGTCCCAAGTTTTTACTCTACCTCCAAAGCAGCACAGAAGCTGTACCAGTGCAACAGTGTCAGCTGCTCTCCAGCTTGTGGCTATCAGAGAAGCAAAGGAGGGTCCTGGATGGGGGGAAAAAGGGGTCCTGAGGCCATGCTGGTATGTATCTAAAGACTGAGGGTGATCCACCTGCTTCATGGTAACTAGCTGTCTGTTTAAAACTGGGCTTTGAGAACCCTGACCACTGGGGCCTGAGTGCTCAAACGTGAGCTAATGGCAATTAATAAAAATATAAATAATTATATATATATATATATATATATAATTATATATATATATAATACACATATTACCTGGAAGTGTAATTTTATTGTTTAGCATTTCTTAGTGACCCTTGAGCACTGAACACACCAAATTCAGTCTTACAGGTCTACTTGTTATGGCTACTAATCCTAAGTGATAAGGTCACTTACAAAAGAAAATTTTACAGACTCCTCTGAGGAGCCCACTCTTATAGATCATTGTGTTTATTCTTTGAATACAAGCATCCAGAATTCTTGAGTTGTAAAATTCCTGTTCCTTTCCACCAAGTGCCTCAGCGCCAAGGCTTCTTTCTTGGATTGCTCGAAGCTTGGTATCCACAGCTTTTGGAGAGAAGTCCAGCCAGGGTTTGAGGATGAGAACCAGAACGCCTCTGGTTTGGGGCAGCTCAGATGGTTAACCTGAGCCTCCCACCTCCGGGGCAGCCATCCCTGGCAATGGAGAGAAATCAGAGGGGTTATTCAGGGACCCATGCACACAGAGGAGAAAGGTGCTATGCCATTAGTGAACTATCCAAACATGTCAGTTACACTTTCCTTCTGTCTAACAGGCTCTGACCACGTCCCTGTGGATGTCGCAGGGAAAGCCCTCTCTAAAGTGTCTGGGACCAGGTCAGTCACCCTGACAAGAGCCTGAATCTCAGATAATGTCTGACTGCATCAGCATGCAAATTGAAATTCTAAGGGAAGGAGCTCTATTTTCATCATTATGTAGTTTTCACCTCATACATGCACACACTTAATGATATATATATATTTTTTTAAGGAGAAAAATCGAGTCATAAATCTGACCAGGAGAGCAAACTGCTCTTCATCATCTTATTGACTAGAGAGCCACAACAGCACTGGGGAAGGAATACACGTATCTGACCTATTCCATACTTTTCCATCACTGTATTCTTAATGAGAGAGAGGACATCTGTCCATATTTGCACCAGCTTCAAATAGCAAAGTCTGGTTAAGCATAACACTTACCAGTTTGGATTTCCCATCCTTTCAGCTCACCTTAGTAACTTCAAATGTTTTCTTCATCTCCCTTCTACTAGTTGCTCAGACTGTGATCAGCTAAAATACAGCCTAATTGGCTGTAGGATACCAAAGGCATTGACCAGTTCAATTACTGGACACAAAAATGATTCATGTTGATAACTGAGCTTGTGGAGAGTTTAAAAAACACTACTGACCCTTTGTACGTAAACCTGGAAACCTGGCAGTTACAATGAGTATCCACAAACTCAAAAAGGTGTATGGTGAGAGTTTTTAGCTTCAGTCTAGTTCCATGTAATGCTCTGTTTATACCACCCAAATCCCCCCCAGCTAGTAGCCTCAGACAACTGAACAGCTCGTGGTGTCTTCAAAAAGGCCTTCTGCTGGCATGGCTGGCACCCCTGCAAGACTGCTGGGCTCTCAGAGCTGGGCTGCCTGTAAGACACCCATTACTAGCTGGTCTCTTATTAGCATAATTCCAAAAGGATTAGATTAGGAGGAACAGGTCCAATTCCTCTGACAAACACACTGGCTTAAACATGGATGTTTCAATGTTTAGTCACCAAATGTGGCCACAGACAGTGGCATGTTGTCGCTACATGTTTGGATGTACCCACACACACGCAGAGCCTGGCAGTCACAGAGTACTTAGGACAGATCTTAAGACAGGGATCTCTCCGTCCCCTCTTCCAAACAGGTGTAATCATATCTAATTAACTAGGGCAGAACTGAGTCTTAAAACACCTCCAAGGATAGAGATACCACAATCTTTCTGGGTAACCTGTTTCCAAATGTTTTAGGTCACCTAAAAGAGGTCAGCAAGTTAGGCTACTTTCTGTAGCCTGGAAAAAAAAAACCTCCTTCCTGAACAATTCAAGCCTTTGGCTGAAGTGACCACCAGCTCAATTGTCAACGTGCATGAGCTCAAGCGCTGCAGCACCCTGAGGGAACACGTGCTCTGGCTGCATACCCACACCTTCTGCCAACACCTTTTTACATGAGGATGCACAAGTCAATGGCACTGGAACACCAGTGGCTGTCGGCTCGCCAGAAATCTGGTAACCAAACTTCCTGGGACAAATCTGACCCTGGTGCCACTTTAAAGCCCCTCCGAGACACAACAACAAATTCACACGTACCTTTTCTTTCCGTCTGATGTTTTCCCACACTCTGTTACACACCATGCACTCAAAGGTGTCAATGTAATTGTCCTGGGTGACATCTTGCACTCCCCACTTGCGTTCCTTCATTGCTGTAAGCAGTCTTGGGTTGGAGATGTCCCCTTTCAGTTTCCACTGTAGGTAGGACTCGTACTCTTCATCATTTCTATCCAGTGTTTTGATATAGTGGGCCAGCTCCCGAGGGTGTGAAAAGCTGGAGACCAAGATTGCACTCCTGTTACTGGGAAGCCAGTCTATAACACTGGGAGACCCAAAGTACACTGGTACCACTCCCAGCTTCAGCGGCCGCCAGAGCTTTTCAGTGATATAATCTTCACAGACAGCATTTTCAAAAGCAAGAATGAACTTGTATTGTGCCAGTATCTTTAAAAAGTTCCCATCATCCATGGCAGACGGATTCCTGAGATGCTGAGGAAGGTCTTTATTATGCAGACATTCCCCATAAGAGTCTACTTCGATGTGGCACATCAGCTCACGCACGTAGCTGTCCCGATCAGAAGGGGGGTCGCAGTCAGACTGCACGTATACAAGGGGTGCAAGTCTCTTCCTCAGGATGTTTTTCATCTGCAGTGGGATCATGAACCTCAAGGACTTCAGGACCTCTACACCCTCCAGGTACTGAGTGGTCAGTGGCAGGTGGGAATGGCGGCTAAATGTTGCAGTGTGGTTGAATAAGGTGATGGTTGCTTCGTGGAAGAGTTTGTAGTTGTTTTTTGGTGACTCTTCATGGAAGAGGGCCCAATCATGATATTCTTTACGAGGGAGGGGCAAGCTGTCTATACTGAAGTCGGTACCTAGAGAAAAGCAAACAGTGCTCATTCTGCTCCTACCTGTCATGTGACACTGCAGTGACAAAGAAACCTAGTTTTAATTTAGTACCAGCCTTACAACCATCATATTTCTGACACTAAAAGGCAGTTGCTTCAAAAAGTGCAATTATGCAAAGGCACAAGAGCGTAATGACAGATAAAACTGAATTTCACAGCAGAAGAATCTAGAAAAGCAGGATCAGTAGGTAATCTTAGACGTGTTTTCCTTTCATGTCATATTAGTTTAAAGGCCTCTCACTTCAAAGGATCACTAGGAATTTTTTATTTTCACGCACTTAAATGAGACTAGTAAGATGCTTAATAATCCCCTGGATCTCCAAATAGGAGAACAGATGGTATTTTCTCTATGATGTGAGGGAAATGGTTACTGCGGGCTCAATTTTGTTCTAGTTGCAAAACAACAAAAAGGATGCTGAAATATTGGAAAGGGTTAAGGAGAAAAAGTACAAGAATGACTTCAAGTTTTGGAAAGAAATTGTACTGTAGAGACTTTGAAAGCCAAGCTATTAACCTATCAAAAAGAAAATTAAGAGGTGATGCATCACAGCTGCCTTCCAGATACATAGAGAAGTAGCTTCTGGCAGAAGACAGCTCCCCAAACTAATGCCAACAGTAGAAGGAGAAACATGTCTAAACTCTAAAAACAGACAACCACAGAGCAACTTGGGGAAAATGCGGTAGAAGGTTTAGGACAAACCTTGAAGCTTTTTCTCAAAACTTGCTCTGTGCAAAACTGAGCTCTTAAATCTTACTCTTATTCTCCCTTCAGTACCACTGCACTACACCTGTATGACTAGCCTTATTGCAGATTAAATGCAAAGTTGCTGAATCTCTGTCAAGATACTTCCTCACTGTCTTATAACTGTATCTGTTTTACATTTAAGCAAAAGCACTGAATATTGAAAACTTTTAACTTGTATTGTCAAGCAAGAGAAGTTCAAAAGCTGAAACAAACACTGAACAGCTGTCTTAGCAAAGATCACAGATCCTTATCTTTGGACAAGCTACTCTACCATCTGTGGCAACCCAACCTTTGTTTAGCAAGCTCCGTGGTCGACTGCATCTAGGACAATTGGGAGCATGACGTCTTAAACAAGCTGTTCTCAAAGCAGCTGAGGGGAGTGGCAGGGTAAGAAGCAGATTTTATGGAGGTGGGGTAATGCTTTGCGGATGCCAACTTCTGCTGCACAGCTGTGCAGACACAAGAAGCAGGGTCAAACAGCAGTCATATCCCAGAGGGGGCTAAGGGCCGCCAAGGACCCCAAGGTGCTCCTGACTCTTTCCAGGAACTCCCCGTCAGAAGACTGAGCGTGCCTCATAGCCTTGCATCACACAAAGAGAATTCCCATCCTGGGGAGGGATCGAGGTGTTCCCATCCTAATTTAAATGTATGTAACCTGATGAAATCTCTGCTTTGAGGGCCCCCAACAAATAAAGACTGTAACCATCACCCCTATGAAGGACATCAAAATTGCAACAGTCAAGTCTCATCACTGGGCCCATCAGAGGTGCTATCTTTCCTCTCCACTACATACTCTTATCCCTTCCTTCTCCTTCTTTCTTTTCCTTACATATTGCCGTTGTGAAATTTTTATACTTATATAGAAAAGAAACAAAACAGCCACACACCTCCTTTCCACTGCAATTAAACTGTTTTAAAATAAACCTGGCTCATATATACACACCAGTCATTCAGTTTCATTTCACTCTAATTCACCTCAGGGGATTTATAAACAGAAGCTCAGTTACCCTGCCTCAGAGACAGGTCATAATATCATCTCAGTCACACTTGTAACTTTTCACTCCCCGTTCTACCCTTGACCTCAAGTCACTGATGGCAAAAAACAGGGTACTAGCAAAACTCTTACACAGAATATTGATCTAAAAACTAAAATATAAAGATAATAAAAAACCACCCAATGGCCTTTGCAGCTTCATGAGACTGCCAAGATGACTCTAACACGACTTTATAAAACCAACATAAGACTTCACTACTGCAGTGAAGATAAAAGTTAGCTGTTAGTAACAAAAATCTCCTATAGAGTAAGATCCTTCAAGAGCATCAGATGGGGTTTTTCAGGACCACTACGTATTTGACCTTCCATTTTCCACTCAAGATCAGTGCCAAGCCCTCAGCACTAGAAGGATGAAGGGCTGTGCCACTCAGTGCAAAAGGCTATTTGCTTATTCTGTTTTTGATATGTTCTAGTGATACAAGAGGGTGATGAAAACTGAAAGCGAACAAATTCTCACAAAGAAGTTTGTAAGGTCTATCTGGTTTTGAAAACACTTCACTCTAAGTGATGCCAAGAAGAGAAGCAGCAGTTCATAGTGACAATAATGAAATGCTGTGGGGTGAAACCACAGCACTTCAGCTCAGTCTCTTGCAAGGGTTCTCCCTCTCTAAAGTACCATTGCAGAGAAGAGACGGGGAAAATGCAGGCAAGAATGAGAGAAAGACAAAAAGTCAACATGCAAAACTAACTAAACTAGGAGACAGATACGTTAGACAAAGGAGAAACCTAAAGAAAAATTGCGCTACAGAATCATAGAATCATTGAGGCTGGAAAAGACCTCTGAGACCATCAAGTCCAACCTTGGACTGATCACTACCTTGTCAACTGGACCACAGCACTAAGTGCCATGTCCAGTAATTCTGTGAACACCTCCAAGAACAGTGACTCCACCACCCCACTGGGCAGTCCATTGAAATGTTAAACAACCCTTTCCATGAAGAAATTCTTTCTAATATCCAACCTGAACCAATCTTGGTGAAGCTTGAGGCCATGTCCACTCATACTGTTACTTCTCCCTGCTTGGCAGAAGATGTCATGCCCACCTGGCTACAGTTTAATTGTAGAGAGTGATGAGATCTCCTCTGAGACTCCTCCAGGATAAACAAACCCAGATCCCTCAGCCACTCCTCACAGGACTTACTCTCTAGACCCCTCTCCAGCTCTGCTGCCCTTCTCTGGACATGCCCCAGAACCTCAATGTCTTTCTCGAAGTGAGGGCCCAGAACAATACACAGTACAGATCAGAGCACATCAGAATGACAAACTCTAATACAACACTTAATCAATCCTAGCCCAGCAAGAAAACAAAAATTATTAAAGGGAAGATACCATCTGCATGCTCCCTATCCCATCAGATGAAGTCAATAAAGGAACATACAATGGAGTAAGAAAAAAAAAAGCACTACAAGACTAGAATTATGAGCAATTTCAACTTCCAAACTATTACTCTGTAAATCTTAGGTATGTGGCAAAGTGCGGAAGTGAAAGACACAAGCTGTTAGGAGTTCTACATTTTAGGAGGCATCTTTCATTCGGGAGTCATATTCCAACACACAAAGCTCCAGCACAGAACAGCTGGACATCCTCCTCCCTTAGGAATAACGCCCCTGAGGCTGTGACAGATCCAGCTCATGCTGACTCACTCACACTGGCAGTTCATGCTGAACACAACACTCTTCGAATTATGCGACACTGAAAAGGTGGAACTGGGAATCCCTCCCAAAAGCAGAGACAAAGTCTAGCAAGTGGATGCCACACCTCATTTACAAGCAGGAGGAGGTGGCACTTGCCAAAGTCATCGCCTACACCTAGGGGCTTCCCAGGCCAGGACAGTAAGTCAGGACAAAATGTAGAAAAGTTGGTGTTCCCAGCAAAGCAGTTGTGCTGGAAAAGCTCTGAACCCCATATTTTTGTATGGCATTTTTCCTAATCTTTGGATCATTCTCCTCTTGACAAGCCTGCTGACCAAAATTAAAGAATTTTCTTTGGAGGGGGAAACTGTGCTCTGATCCAGCCTTAGCATGGAAATTCAGATATTCAAGTTTTCACTCAGCAGGTTGTTTAGAGGGAAATTCTGTAACAGTAAGACATGCCCTTTTGCAGGGTCACAGCTCAGTGCATCAAGGAGGTGGGGGTGGGGGTGGGAGAGAGAGGGATGGGGAGAGAAAGAGGGACAGAGAGAAAAAGTCTCTCTCTCTCTCTGGGTTTTAGCATTGTGAGATCATTTACCGCCATTTAAAATAAGTTACAATTTTGCATATTTTGACACTTTCCTTTACACAGTTCATAGCCACCACCACTAGAAAAAGAAGAAAAAGAAACACTACAGGAAAAGTCTTTTGCCCAGTATAGTCCCTTAAAAATGTGGAAGTATACTGTGTCCACAAGCCTGCTAAAAATGAAGATTAACAGTCTTTTTAATGCTGAAACAGACCAAATTATAATCAGAGACCAAAATCACCAGACTTTACAGCTTTCCTGTGATGCAATCCAGCTTTCCTTGTCTTTAACTGGGTCAGCTTCTCATTCCTTTGCTATTATTCCTTTGCTTTCATGCTTGACCACTACATTATCAATTGACAAAGCTGACCTACTTGGAAGTCTAAAAAGATTAGTCATGAGAAGTTTTTGGTTCGCTGTTAACAATCAAGCTAAAGTCCTCTCTTTCCTATACTTCCAATTCACTCGTATTCTGACTGAGTGAATGAGATTCAGGACCCTGTTTTGCTTTATTTTATTTAGTTTCTAGACAAAAGCAGTCAGACAAAGAAACTGGAATTTATTTGTCCACCTTAAATTCATTTTTTTCTTTCGAAAGCAACCACGCGGGGAAAAAGAACAAAATGAATGAAGTTAAGGTCTACTTTTAAAAGATGCATCTTTTGTGTTTTGTAGATTAACTTTACAGTACATATAGTGGGAAGTTTCTGACGGAGCCAGAGCAGCTCAGAGGGTTGCACTAGCTGCTGCTCCCTGAGTAGAATCAATAGGTTTCTTTCACTACTTTCCATTTACAGTCTGCTAGCAATCCCTCGGCACATGAGGCAGGGGAGTTGCACTGTTACCAGCAAGGGCATCATTTTTAGACAAAAGACTTGCACAAGTGCAACAAAGGCCTTGCAGGACCTCCGCTAGGGGTAACAAGCCAGAAGACTGGAAAAAGCTGGCTTGATCTCAGACTGTCTTTAAATGCCTTGGCAACTACAAGAAATTGTCTTTTCTCCCATGAGCAGGGAGTACATGTGATTGGAAAGCAGCATGAGACACGGCATCAGTCATCCCACAGACATGCACAGCTACTTTTCAGAGTACTTTCATAGGTAATGTGCATCTCTGGATGGTATTCAGCACCAGGCAAAATTTAGTCCAATGAGCTGCGTAAATTTCCTGTTCTGTCATTGCCACCTAGAACATTTAATCTCCAAAGGAAAATAACTAATCAGGAGAGAAAGCTACTCCTTTAAAAAAGAAATATTCTTACCATAGAACAGAAACGCCCTTGTCATCTGATCGTGCTGGTAGGTCTTGTTGATAGTAAAGAAGCAAAAATCCTCTCCACACTGACCGAGTCTTCCTGTCTCTCCAGTCAGGGGAGACCACCAGAGCAGAACAGGATAGTGGTTTACATCAGACTCTGTCTTGGAGCTGCTGTGAAGTTCCTGCTTCTTAAGCTGAAAAGCGTGCCCCTCCACAGGCTCTAATGGGCCGCTGTGTAAACTGGAGATGACTGACACCTTGGTCTCTGAATTGCCCAGTTCTGTGATAACCTTCAGGGAAATAAATACACATATCACAACACGTCACTGTCACTAGCCAGGGCATCTGCCTGACAAATCAGAATTTAGGCATCAAGCACTAAGCCTGTTTGTGAAGTTTGTGTCAATCAAATTACACCCATTTCACCAACTGCAGCCACCGCCCAGGTGATCTTATATCAGAACAGCAAAAGCTTTACTTTGAATTTTGTAACTAGGAGGCAGGAAATACATTTGTCTACTGAGATATGGCCACATCACATACGATTTAACAACACAACTTCTGCTTTCTCCCCAGAAAATGCAAAGAACAGAGAACAGCCATTCAGTAGCCAGGTTTGTTCTGGTAGTTGTTAAAAAACCCCATCAAGTTTTCATGTCTCTATGGGTTCAGAATTGCCTCCCCTGCCTAATGAGTTCAAACATATGAAGGTAATCCTGGATGGAGACAATGCAACATGGCATGGTATGCTGCAACACTCCTGAGAAATTCCTCCAAGATCCCAGGAGCTCTATAAGAAACGTGTAATGTCTCTTCTGGAGTCAGCTATTGCCACCAGGCCAGTGTTGCTGACAGAGCTTCTGTAAAAGCATAGACTAGTATATAGAATGTCTGTTGCCTTCAGTGTTCTCTGTCCTCTGACAGAATTGTGTGCTGCTTTGACAGCAATCTCACGCATACCCCACCCCCTTGCCCCTGTACCTGGAGTGTCACCACAAGGAAAAAGGCAGCCGCAAAACAGAAGCAAGATGCCCACAGTATCTTCTTCCTCATCCTAATCATACTGCACCACCAGGTCAGCCAGAGCAGTTACAGCTCAGCATTGGGAAGGTCAGCTTGTCTGAAGTCTTCAGCCTTCGCTGCTGGGTTTTCCCATTTCATCCTTACTGCTCTTCATGGTGACTGCTGCTGAAAAAGAGTAGAGCATCAGCTCCTCAAGCTCAGTGGTTACTCTGATGTCTACCCATAGCTTTCTGTAGGTGTCAGAGCCACATTTTGAGCCAGGTACCCAGGAAGCAGTCTGCACAAAACAGTGCTCTTGCTCAAAGGGCCCTCATCTACTCTCGCCGTGGTCATCCTGGAGATCCTCTCTGAGCAGGGTAACACATCCTCTCGTCCCTGCAGTCACTGCAGAGAAATGCTGATGGCCATGGCTCAGTCCTGTATGAGGACAGCACCCACATTCCTGAGTTTCCAGATGTCAAACTCTGCTGCTTTTCGGCATACTCATGAACAGGGGAGCAGAGTGGAAGACCCTCCTTCCCTTGGCAAGACCTGAAAATGCTCCTGGAGAAGGCATACAACTGCCTGGCCTTGGGACTTACTATACTGTGGTCTTCTGGGACTTCTCTTCATGAGCATATAGAACACTTGTGCAAGATGCTCTATGTCCAGTGCCTAGAGAAAGTAATGACAGAGTGTACACACACAAACTCTCCCCACATCTAAAAATATTTCAATTTAACAAGTTCCCCTTTCCCAGTAATCTACATCTGTGCTGGTCTGCCTCTCCTCAAATAACTCTTTTCCTTCCCTGATGCTTTTTTTAGCTTTCACAGGGCCCTACTGTTTTGCTGCATGCTGAATATTACTGTGTGAAAATCCCAAATCCTGGCAATCAAAGTTGCAAAAAAAGCTTCATCTTAAAAAAAAAAAAAAAAAAAAAAAAAAAAAAAAAAAAAAAAAAAAAAAAAAAAAAAAAAAAAAAAAAAAAAAAAAAAAAAGAAAAAGAAAAAGGATGGGAGAAAGATAAGACTCCATGATTCAACACAGAGAAGTAAAGTTTGAAAATGTGGGTATTCTGAAAGCTCAGAAAGCAGAAACACACACAAAATGTTTAATAAATTGCTATTTTTAAACTCCTCTCTTTCAGAGATATGCCTCTTGTAATTTATGCTGGTTTTCCTGCCAACTTTCCCCCCATTCTAATCCCAATCACAAAGTTTCACAACCCTGACAAAGACAGATGGATCCCCAGCCTACTGCCTGCTGCAGAACTATCACTGTGGTGCTCGCAGCTAAAGCCAAAAAAAACTATCCTGTTTCTGCTTCCACTGCCACATCAGTTCATCCCCTCCCCTCAAACATCAGAAAGGCCTCTTTAGTAAAAAGATCACATGAAACCCTGATGTGTGAGTTCTGCTCTGCACAGGCCTTACTTCGGAAGGTCTGGGTGGGTGCAACAGCGCACGCCTGCCAGTTAAGCGCTTCTCAAATCAGGCAGGATCTTCTGTAAAGCCTCTGCACCTTCTGTGCCTTCGCCAGTACAGCCAAAAAAGGGCCACCGGGAGGGGAAGGAGCTGAATTCTGCCCACTGCTGTGTTGGTGAATATCTGCTCAAGGCACACCCTGGAGCTGAACAGTCTCTTTAACAACACGTCTTACCCTGTGCATGGCAAAAAAGTAAGACTCTGATCATCCACTGAATGCCACCCTGCTCCCTGCCCTGGTAAAAGAGCAGTAATCGTCACATTTTTAGGTACTGTTCTGAGGGGGAACTGACCCACAGCATGAGTGTGCCGTACCTATTGGCCCGGGGTACCGCACTGGGACATGGATTCATTCCTGTGTCTGCGGTGCCCAACACGCAGAACTCCTGCCCAGCGGTGCAACGAGGACTTGGAGTGGGCCAGGCAAGGCTCCACCCCGTCCTAACTTCACTGATAATGATAACCTTGCGGCGCTTTCCCACTCCGGTCAGGCCGAGCGGAGGCCCTGAGGACTCCATGGAATACGGAAAAACCACCACCCCCTGCTGCCCTGCGGGAGCAGCAGCTCCCTGCAAATCCTTCCAAACTTCCTGCCAGCTCTCCCTGCAGCTTCTCCTTCCAGACCTATCTTGCCGCATTTCACCGGGCTCAGCATCCCAGCTAGGGTTCTGCCTGCTCCCCAAAACGCTGCTCCCCTTCCCTTCCCGAGGCTCTGCCCGTCCCGCAGCCCCGGCCCTGCTCCCCGCCCGTGAGTCGGGCATCCTCCGGCCGGAGCCCCGCCGCTGTACTCACCCCTAGAAAGTCGCTCCCCCCTCAACGCCGCCGGGCCCCTCCGGCTGGATCTGAGGGGGTTGGGGGAGTTTTGTGGGTTTTTTTTTAAACTTTCCGTTTGTGCCCCCAGCCGGAGCGCGGAGGGGGGGCGGGCGCCGGGCGGGGGCGGTGCGGCTCCGATCCTCCCTCTGCCCCGCCGCGGGGGCGGGGAAGGGGGGCAGCTCTTTTCGGGGACCCCAGGGCCCTGAAGAGGGAACGCGCAGGGCTAATCGGCCGGAGAGCGCCATCGCTTCCACCCGCCCCGGCTTGCTCTTCTGCAAACCCCGCACTGCAAGACCTCACGCGATCCCCAAAAATAAATCCGGCCCCTGTCACTGATTCCTACAGCTGTTCGCATAATCGCGCTCTCTGCGGTTTTATTTTCTTTACAACAGTGCCGGTGCTATCCTGACGGAGACTTTAGATTGACTGCCCGGAGCTAGCGAGCGGGCTGTCAGAAAAAGAAATGCGTCATGGCAGCTGGGAAGCCTCGAAGAGCCGGGAGAGCCGGTCCGCGCTGGCCGAGGGAGCGCATCCCTCGTCCCCTCTGGCGCGGAGCTGCGGCACGCATCCCGCCGCTGAGACCATGCCTTGCTTCCAGCCTGTACCGACCAGGGAACGGTCCTGCCTGCCCGCTCGGGGCTCCCCGCGGCTGGGAGCCACTTCATGCACCGCTCTGCTGTTCGTAGATGTTTACTCTGACAGGCTGGTTCTGCTAGCTCAGGGCTGTTTATCCACATGACACAGCCGTACATGTGGATGCATGTTTGTTTTTGTAATTCGTCTGTCGCATACCTACGCATTTGTATTAATGCAGAAATACGTGATACGTGTAGATTTCTTCATAGGTACGTGTATTTATACACAAACACTTGAAGTTGAGGTGTCTGCTGTATTTAACCCAGATGTGCCAGGCAGGGGAGGTGCAAGGAGGTGGTTATCTGAGGGAGTGGAAGGAGCAAGAATTCCAGAGGAGGCAGGGAGGACACCTGATGTGAAATCATGAGTGATAAAAACTGCAAATGTTATGTATACAGCTCACCTCCTTACTCTGGGTGGGTAATGCCTCCAGTCTTCCAGAGAGGCTCAGAAGTGTACCCAGCAGACAACCTGAACCCAGCCCTCTGCTGCAGTGTCGGTGACCCCTGCCACAATGGCTCTGTCCCTTTTTCACCACTGTTGCTCTTGCCAGCAGCCCCTTTGGAGCAGCTCTCGCCTCTTGCTGCACAAACTGTGCCACAGATTTCTCTCTGAACTGCCAGGCTCCTCCTAAGATGAAAACTAGCAACTGACAGACACTGCAGTGCTGGGACATGCAGATTTACTTATCTTCCAGTCTTTGTTCAGTGATTCATCACAGCTCTTGTCCCGTTTGTTGCTTCCTCAAAAAGGTTCTAGCTGCTGGAGTCACATTTTTAAGCAGAAGCTTTCAGGTGGGGTTTTAAAACTATCTTCAAAGTGTAGTCACAGATATTTGACCTGTAACATGAAGGATCTCCACTGACTCTAAACCGTGAGGCATGCAGCAAGAATCTCCAAGAGTTATTTTGTAAAGCAGATCCATGCAAAGGCAGAATCCTGCTTTTGCAGGCCTGACTAAGGCTTTCAGAGTGCCCAGAGGCTGTGAGGACTGATGAGGCTTCATGGCACGAGTGTGTAGTTCAGTAAATTTAATGGAGTGGTTGGAAATGGATCAGAAGTCTGGTACAGTTTATGGAAGGATCTGCTGTGAACCCACTGGATTTTGATCCGCCCCATAATTTTAAACTCAGTCATACTCCTGGCTTTCACATTTCCTTAGCTGGCAGACTCCTAAGTTGCTCTCATGAGCATACAACTTGTTTGTAACACATTTCAGCTTCCTTCAACAGGCTTGACTTTGTCAGTTACTGTCCCTCAAGCCTTTAGAAGCAGTTCACAGACCCAACAACCCACAGATGCAGACTAAAAATGCAGAAGATAGTGCTTAGGGCAGTGGGATAACTATACTATCTGGTCTCTGCCCCTTGCCATGAGCAAGGTATTTTTGGACCAGCTCCATCCAGTGGCTGGCATTAGAGAAGCTCTTTTTTTTTTCTTGTCCTGCTATGCCACTCTGAGGCAATAAGCTCCTATTGCAGGATCTGGCCTGTCTAATCCATGTTAAATAGCTGGCAAAGATGATACCAGCATAAACACTGGCAGGGGCAGGTCATTACATATCCACTCTGGAGGAAGCACAACCAAAAAAACCCCAACTGTTGCTCAAACAGCTGAGCTAATAAACCAGATTTCTGAAAGATCTCTGTCTCAAGTGCCCTCTGCCCATGGAGAGCTGTTGGTATCTAGCAAACTTGCAAATGCAACTTTTCTCTCCATGGGTCAGGAACAGCAGCTTTTCTTTCTGCTCTCTTACAAAACAGGATTTACTACCTTTGAGGTTTCTCTCATTCATATGTACACATTTCCTCTGACAGGTTTATAATAT